ACATCCCCACACCCCCACCCCACCCACCCCTGCCAATGCCAGGCCCTGCCCAGCCCAGTTCAGCCAGACCTGCAGTGAGCCCAGGTGCAGGCCTGAAGTCAGCCAGCCTCGCCCCAGGACGGTGAGCAGGTCTCAGTCCCAGCTAGTCCTTAGAGGGACTAATGCTGCCCAGGCTCCCACCCAGGCCTCGGGATCCAGTTAGGCCAACCCTTCTGGGAGGGGCCCTGCAGAGCAACTGAACACAAGGCCACACCCTGGAGGCTGCAGGCCCGTTCTGGGGGTCCCCACACCTGTAGCCCCTCAGAGCCTGGGTTCCGGCCCCACAGTGGCCTGCTGACCTCCTACATCAGATGAAAAGTGGTGCGGGTAAGCTCAGGATCCTCTCAGATAGGGAACCTGCAAAGCTTCCAGGTGCTTCTGGGTGTGGGCCCTGGTGGGGCGGGGTGGTGGGGTACAGCCTTCCTGGGGAGCCCCAGACAGCCTGCTTCAGCAGTGGGCTGACCTGGTGCCTAGAGGCTGCTATTGACCTGCGCCTGGTCCCTTTTCCAGCTCTGGGAACGAAGGGGACAGAGACGGTGTACAGTGAGATCCGGAAGGCCTGCCCTGGTGAGTGAGGGACCTCTGCTTCCCCAGCCCAGGGGCGGCCCCCTAGAATCGCTGATGGGGACTTGTGAGTGGGCAGAGAAAGAGAAAACAAAGAAGGCCAGAAAGGGTGTCCCCTCCCACACCAGGCGTTGACCTCTCTCCTGCCTGTTTAAGAAGTAGCCACGTGATCGGGATCGTGTCCTAGTGATTTAGTCAACGAATGTGACCCCAACAGAGGCAGTGCTGCTTTGTGGGTTCTCAGGTATCAGCTAGGGAGACTCACCTGCTCCCACAGGGCCCTGCCAGCCTGGGCTCCCTAAGATCTCAAACTCAAATACTTGGTTTTGAAGCAATTCAAACCTTTCTGAGAATAAGCTGACTTAGGAGCCAGGGCAGATTTACAGATCTGCCCCCATTTCCTTTGGATTCTGCCCAGGCCCCATTTCAGTTCCCATCACCCACCACTTCCCCCTGAGAACACAGGGCCCAAGCAGGCATGCACCTGGGGATGCTCCCAACAATTTCACTTTTACCGTACACAATTCCGGTGATATGTAATCTGCAAAGATAACTTTTAAATTCTTTTTTTAAAAGACGTATTTAGTTTCATTTATTATTATTGTTTAATTTGACCAGAGAGAGACAGAGAGAGGATGAAAGGGAAAGGGAGAAAGCAAACCTCCAGGTTTGGGACATGAACCATGGTTGGCCATGTGGGAATCTAACGCCTTTAGCCATGACACCACCTGCTGGCCCCAGTGACTTTTAAATTCTAAAAGTGTCAGGGGACCTCAGAAAGTTCATTGGGAAATGAAATTAAATTATAAGTTTATTTTGGTGCAAAAAAAAAAAAATTGGAATCTATGTATTGTTTTTTCATACTACACATATTTCATGAGTTCTTTAAAGACTCCTTTTGTTTTAGGGAAGGGGGCTAGTGAAATTTGGAGGCCTCAGGGGTCCCTGTCGCAGGAAACCAGCTCCTCATCGCCTCTGTCTGGAAGCCTCAGAGTCTGAGGCCGCCTGAGCCTACCCATGGAGACCCTTTTAGAGTGGTCAAAAGCCACCCTAATGCGGATTCGAAAAAGTCTGTATGGGAAGGGAAAAATTTAACATTTTTTCCTATGCTCTCTGGCTGAGACCCTTCCAAATAGATCGGATAGATTACCAAGAGGGAAAACAACAAGTTTATTAACGCATGTAACATACCTCACAGGAGAGAAACCAAAGGAATCTAACACGTGGAGTCTATTTAACATTTTAACAAAGAGCCATAAATTTGTAGAGAAATGACAAGACAAAAGAAAAGGGGCTTAGGCTTCCAAGAGTGGTAAACTACGGGAAGGTGGAGTGAGATTTGTTTGTGCAGGTCCATCCTGGTGCCGGCTTTCTGTCTTCATGATTGTAAAACTGCGCTGATGGGGGATTTATGGCCGTCCTCGCCTGTCAGAAGTCTCTGCTTTCAGTCAGATAAGGAAGCTCTGTGAAGGCTTCTTTCTGCATCTGTTGATTTTCAGTTGCCTCCAGCTCAAAATAATCCTATGCCAAAGTGGCCTATTTGGGGATGGCATATTCTTTTTTTTTTTTAATTATTTATTTAATTTTATTTATTCACTCATTTATTTTCATTTGACCAGAGAGAGAGAGAGGGAAAGTGAGGAAGTAGGCCATCAGGTCCAGAACCTGAACCATGGTCGGCCATGTGGGAGTGTCCAGCACCTTAACCACCACGCCATCTGCTGGTCCCTTCTTTTTAAAGAATTACTTTATGCAACTTTATTTATTAGTAGTATTCAATTTGACCAGAGAGAGACACACAGAGTGAGAGAGGGAAAACGAGAAAGAAAACCGCCAGGTCCAGGATTCAAAACACAGTTGGCCATGTGGGAGTCCAGTGTCCTTAACCACCATGCCACCTGCCAGCCTCAGAGATGGCATATTCTAATTTCCTACATTTGCTTTAGGGCAGCTAGCTGTGTGAGTGGGTTCTCTCAGGGTCACCAGTTTGGTTCCAGATTACTCGGTCCTGGGCAGTTAGAACATGACCACTCCCTCAGGCTTGGACCGTCAGCCTTGTATAACACAGTCTTGTAGGGATTTGAGGCGGGGAAGAGCCCTGGCTTTCCTAGGGGACACCTGAGCCTCTGTCCTTGTGGTGCCACCTGCAGCTGGGTGACTTTGACCAAAGATGTCTTACTCCTCTGAGACTCAGTTTCTTTAGCTGTTAAATGGGGATGGGATTAAGTGAGAAAGGAGGGTTAGGATTAAATTAGCTAGGATCAAGGGTGATGGCACTGACTATCCAAGAGACAGTGTGTTATCCCTACTTTAGAGTGAATCTTTGAATGGTTACATTGCAGGATTCCCACATAGTCGACTGTGGTTCGAGTCCCAGACCTGGTGGCTTAAAACTCACACCGGGCATGTGTGCATGCATGCCCAAAATCCCAAGAAGAGACTGCAGGAAAGGGATTGCAACGTGGCCATCCCCTCCGGGCGGTGATTTCTCGCTGCCTCTCATTCTCTCCAGTGAGCACACATGCCCAAGAGCAAAAAAAATCTCTCTTAAAAAAAAAAAAAAAGACACAGGAGGAACTTGAGCTCTGGAGAATTCAGTGCCTTGCCCAGCATAAGTCTAGAGCAATTTCCAGATTCCAAGCCAGGGTGTTCCCACTGTCCCATCAGGGCTATGGTCAGTGTTGGGGTGGCCATTTAGGGCTCCAGTCCCTCTGCAGTCTGGTCTCTAACCTGGCAGCTCTCCAACCTGCCCAGGGGCTGAGGGATAAAGCCCAGATCTTACAAGGGCTGTGTTCCTCAGGGACTGCAGCAGCTGGTGCCCCCGCTTCGCCTAGAAAGCTCCCTTCCTGGAAGCCAAGGGGTTTCCTGTTTCTGAGTGTTTCCTTTCAGCTGCTGCTGAAGGGGAGAAGCCTGCATGCCGATTCTATTTGTTTTTTTAAGTTTATTTATTTTATTCGTAATAGCACATGCAACCATAAGACATAGAACCCTTGAGATAGTCTCATCACGCCATGACCCCCTTCTCGCAACCCTCCCACTGCTCAGAGTCTTGGCGTTTAGCTCCTGTAATCACTAGGCTACAAGGTCGGCCCTGTCGCTGACCTTTACTGACCCTGCCTGTGCCTGCAATGCTCAGAGCCCTCACTGAGTCCTCAAAGTCATCACAGGGTTAACGGGAGCTCTGT